CCCTTATTTATTCAACTTATTTTTGTACTAATACAATCAGACTTTTGACACATAAAAATTTTTACTCACCCTGAGTATTTTGTAGCTGTCCAAAAGAACTTGCAGAGGTTGTTTGGCCAAACAAACCCGTACCTATAAATGTACAACAGTTTCTTTAGTAATGCACAATACCGTTTCTCAAGAAACTAATACTTCCAGTGCCTCAATATACAAAACCCTGGAATTGACTGGAACTCCCAGAAACCTTACTATTGCTATTATCTGTAGTGCCGAATAAAATGATAGTAACTGAAAACATTACAAGTACTGAACTTTTGAATAGGACTACCAAAATTAGACTTTTGAAATATGAAAATTTTTATGCACTCTGAATACTTGGTGGCTCTCCAATAAGACTTGTGGAAGCACCTGTCAAGCCCTGAGTCCCAAAAGGGCTAGTCACTGCTGCCATTATTAAACTTCAAATAAACACTTTGTACTTTTAAGTTAAGGGGAGGGGGAGGGGATAGGAGAAATTAAATATGAAAATTTTTACTCACTTTGGCCATTTAGTACTGGCTGTCCAAAAAGACTTGTGGATGGTGTTCCGCCTAGCAAGCCCGTACCTATAAATGTACCACAGTTTCTTTAGCAATGCACAATGTAATACTGTTTCTCAAGTAAATGAAAACATTACAAGCATTCAAATTTTTAGTAGCACTAACAAAATAAGACTTTTTAAATATAAAAAAATTTTACTCACTCTGAGTATTTGGTGGCTCTCCAAAAGGACTTGTGGAGGATGTTCTGCCAAACAAGCTGGCACCTGTCAAGCCCTGAGTCCCAAAAGGGCTAGTCACTTCTACCATCATTAAACTTCAAATAAATGTTTTGTACTTTTTAAGTTAAGGGGGAGGAGAAAGGAGAAATGAAATATGAAAATTTTTACTCACTTTGACCAGTTAGTACTGGCTGTCCAAAGAGACTTGTGGATGGTTTTACGCCAAGCAAGCCTGTATCTATAAATATACAACGGTTTCTTTAGAAATGCAAAATGTAATACTATTTCTCAAGAAACTAATACTTCCAATACCTAAATATATAAAGCCCTGAAATTGACTGGAACTCCCAAAAAACCTTTGCTAGTG